AAGTCCTATGACCCCAGCCTAATGACTGATGGCCAGGGTCACACAGCAATACGTATGAGAAGCAGCCTTGAACTCGGGGCATCTTGTGGCTTCGGCCTGCTCGGATCTCACTCTGCCTCTCAAATTTATCCAACAGGAAGAATTATTCAGAGGACACAGTAAAGCAAGAGCCCTGGATTCCCATTCCAGCTTTCACTGCTTAGCTATGTGACCAACATATCCCAGGGTCTCAGCTTCATTTGGGTAAAAGAGGAAGGAAGAGGAAAAAAGCATCACCTCCAAGACTTTGAGACTTGACTCTGTAGCTGCCCTTAGTCAAAGCCCATGTAAAATCAGTCCGGCACTCCTCACCGTCACCAAAAGCCCCCATGCAGTGTCTTAGGCCCATTTTTCTTTGTCTTCAACAAAGATCAAGGGAGGTAACAGCTGTGTTGGCAAAAATTATTCCAAGTCAAAAAGAAGGTAAAACTTGGGTTCCAGGCCATTTTGAAAGGCCAGCAGGGTTTCACGCTCTAATACGGAATCATAACAATCTTAGGACTTGCTATAAGACTTAACATTTCTTTGGTACTTTATGGCTACAAAACATTTTACATAATTTAATACTTAAATCTTACCTTGAGAATTCAGGGCTCCCCCACTTACAGCATTTTTCCTCAGGGCCACTGCAAATTTTAACTAAGCTTACTTTATATATTAATACCTGTTCATAATCTAATATAATACTTGGAAGTAGTAAAGCTGCTTGCAAACATTCTGCGCTGTTGAGTTTTCACTAACTTAGAAAGGTCTCTTCAGCTTTTGGTCAATAAGTTATTGACTACAGATTTTCAGGAAGCTTAGTGGGCTATGTAAGTATACTTTAAAAGTTTCTCCCCTCTCCAATCCATACTCCTCACAGCTGCCAAAATGATTTTCCTCCTTTATGAGAGGGAGGGAATATAGCACCTACTGTGCCAGGCACTATGCCAAGTACTTTACAAATATTATTTCATTTGATCCTCACAACAACCCTGGGAGGGAGGCCCTGTTACTATGCCCACTTCACAGTTTAGGAAACTGAGACAAACAGAGGTTATGTGCCCTACTCCAGGCCCAGTGCTCTAAGACTGCATTGCTTAGCTTCTGCCTTGTGGCCACCACATTCCTCTCTTGCTGTATTCCACTGTCTTCCTACCGCTTGTAGGATCAGACACAAGCTCCCTCCTTTTTGGCATGCAAAGCCCTTCAAAATCTGACTCCCACCTGCCTTTGCAGCATTAAACAGGACTCCTCCTCACTTGCGCTACCGTGGAGCCAAAGTTGCCTTCCTCTGCTCCTCAAAGATCTCCAGCCTCAGTAGCTTTGAAATGAAGGCATATCCCTCCCCACCTCTGCCACTTAGAATCCCTGGCTTCCTTCAAGATAAGGCTTAAAGGATACCTTCCCTCATGACGCCTCAGCTGATTTTCCCCTCCACCCCTCAACTACATTGCATTCATTTTGTATGAATTGTTTATGCATGTATAGTTTATATATCCAATGTGTTGTCTCCTCCCTTAGAATGGAGGCTGTCCTGAGGTCAAGAATTGTTTCACTTGTCTTTATGCCCTCTTGCTTAGCACTCTAAGAGCTATACTATCATCAAAACCATCTGGTATAGGCTAAGCAGAGAGACAGATCAATGAAACAAACTTGACAAGGGAGATTCAGAAACAACAGAACTCAATAACCTGGTGCTTGATAAAGTGGAAAACAAATTATGAGGGGGAAAAAAACTCCTTATTCAATAAAAACTGCTGGGAAAACTGGAAAGCAATCTGGCAGAAAATAGGCTTACACCAACACCTTAACCAGTGTATTCCACAATACACTCTAAATGGATATGTGACCTTAATATTAAAGATTATACCATAACAAACTTAGAAGACAAACAGATCATATACCTTTCACAGCTATGGGTTAGGAGATGTGTTCTTAACCAAACAAGTGATAAAAGCAATTACAAAAGATAAAATAGGTAACTGATTACTTGAAACGTTTCTGCACAGACAATATTAATTCATCCAGGATAAGAAGGGAAGTGGCCAATGGGAAAAAAGTTTGTCTCAATTTTCCTGGATAAAGGTTTGATATCCAAGATAAACAAATAACTAATAAATAAAAATAAATGTGTGTATAATGTATATATAAAACTAATAGCCGTTCCCCAATAGGCAAATGGTCAAAGGATAAAAACAAACAGCTCTCAAAAGAATTACAAAGTATTAATAACCACAAGAAAAAAATGTTCCAAATCATTAATAAAAGAAATGCAAATCAAAACAACCCTGAACTTTCACCTTACACCCTGCAAATTGCAAAAATGGCAACAGTGAGTCACTTTTAAAGGGGTTATGGGAAGGCAGGCATACTAATACATTGTTGGTGGAGCTGTGAAGTCATACAACCATTTTGGAAAGCAATATAGAATTACACAACTAAAAGGACTAAAATGTCAATACCCTTTGAACCAGAGATCTCATTACTGGGCTTATACCCCAAGGAAGCCATCCAGTAAGACAAAAAAAGTCCTCATATACTTAAAAATATTTATAGCATCACTTTTTTCCTAATAGCTAAGAATCGGAAACAAAGTAGGGGCCCATCAACTGAAGAATGGGTAAGCATAATGTGGTACATGAATGTAATAGAATCTTACTGTGCTGTAATAAACGTGTGATGACTGCAGAGAGGTAAGGTAACATCTACATGAACTGATAAGCCAAGAAAACCACATACTCAGTGACCACGACAACGTAGATGTAAAGAGCCACATATTGAAAAAACAAAGGTAAATGTGACAAAATTATAAAAATCAAGCAAGACCTGAAGAGAGACAAGACACCCACCCAATACCCCTTCCTGGAAGCAGAACGTCCACAAGTGGCACATATTATGAGTATATTTGAACTTTTTCAATGTATCTATTGTGTTGACTTTTTTCTTCTCTAAAAAAAAAAAGATGACTCATATTGGATGGCTCTTTTGGTGGGGAAGGGGGTGGGGTAATTATGTGATGTAAGAAACAAGTCAATACAAACTTAAAAGAATAAAAAGAGCTATGATAAATGCTTTGTGTTTGATTATCTGATTACCAGTTCAATTAAATGATCAGTAAAATTCTGTTCTATCAAATACTGTTACAAATGCATTGCATCAAATTACTATTAAAGGAGAACTTATCTATAACGAACACATTCCAAGACACGGGAGCAACATTTTGCTGACCTAGTTCCACCAATAATCCTTTAGCAAGTAGGATGGGTCACTTTTTCAGGGGCCCTTTCATTTTCCAACAGTCATTCTTAAAACAAAAGTTACCTCCAGAATTCTACTTGCCCTACACAAGCAGCCATTCAAGTTCATGGCTGAGAGTAATCACAATTCCCTGCCTAACCCCAATTAGCCAAAAGTCCCACACAAGGAGAAAGGGGGTGGTCATCTGCTTTGACTGGTTCCCCACACCCCAAGCTGGTTCAGTGCCCTCTTTTTAAATTCCCCAATTTTGTTACATTTCTAGCTTTTGACCTGGGAATGTAACTTGTGTCTATTAAACCACTCCAGCTACATACAGGTGAAATTGTCATAATAGGATCTCTCTCTAATCAGAAACAACAAACTTGAAAAAAGATTCATTGGGTCAAAGTACTGTCCTTTTAAACTCCTTTACACCTGCAACTTTGGACAGAAACACAGCGATTGTCAATTTCATTCTACTATCCACAACTCCAGGGTTTTTTGTTTTTTTTTTAAGTGCTCACTGTCTTTCTTTCTGGGTGTAATACTTTCGAATCATTTCTTATTGTAATTAAATTATGGGAATAGCCACCGTTGTGCTAGAGACATTTGTTGTGGTCAAACACATTTTCTTTTTCAAGAAAAAAAAATGACAAAAGCTATATCCCAAGCCCAGAAAGTCACAAGACTTCATTTATACAGAAAAAAATTTCATAATCATTCTATTTAGATTGTGGAATAGCAGGACTGGGCTTAGCACTTCCCTTTCCAACTGCACTAATTTGAAAACTGAAACCGAAAACCAGCTCCACGCTAACCTCTTGTGCATGTTACAACTAAATGCAACAGGTTTTAAAGATTGTTTTCTTATTTCCCCCACAATCTCTGGCACATTTCTTGAACGGAGACATCATGCATATTCGTATTTAACACATTTTGTGACAACACCAAGAATTTGCTCTAACGGTGGCTCCAAACATGGTTTCAATGGCTTTGTCGTTTTGAAACGGAGCAGAAGACCGTAAAAGGCTACAGACAAAGGATATTCCATTTTCCAAAAGAGTATCATCCCTTAATTTTAAAGTATTCCCATTCCTGCTTAGGGCACATTAGCCGCCCTGCCAAGCTTCCTTTTACACACCAGCTTTTCCTGTACACCAACCACTCTCCCGTGTCCTTTTTAAAATAAGATCTTGGTCAAAGGGATTTCAAGAATTTTGTTTCCAAAACGTTCGAGATGTGGAAAGGAGCAGATTCATCTTAACTAGTATTGTGCTCGCGGTAAAAAGAAAAGCAATAAATATATCATCCATTAAACTCTAAATCACACGAGTAGGTATAAATACAGGCGGGGAATCGTCTACCCAAAGTCCTGTCCCAACAGGGACTGCCCCCACCTAGCTTCCGTAAGCCACACAGCCCGAGCCACCGGGTGGGTCCATTTTCCCACGCTAGGGGGTCTAGGGGTAAAGTCACTTCGTGATCCTCCCCTCCCCCGCCCCCAATTTCCACGTCAAGTGCATCGGCATTGTCCGGCGATCCCTAAATATCTCCCTGCACGTGACATTGGTAGGAAAAGTGCCAAAGTTCCGACAGCAGGAAGCGTCGGGGGAAGAGCCCTGGGAAGGCAGCCCCGGGTCACCATCGCGCCCCTGCCCCGCAGTCCGAGCCGGGGGCCGGGTGGGGGCCGCCCGGGGTCTGGGGGTCAAGGCCAAGGGCGCGCACGTGCCCCGCCGACTCACCTCCGAACATGTGCGGGGAAAGGTGCGCCGGCAGCGAGCCGATCACGAGGCGGGGCCCGCCGGCGGCCGAGCGGCCCTCGTCGGGGGTGCTGTTCACCGAGTCCTGCGAGCCGTACGGGCCGCTGCTGCTGCTGCTGCTGGGGATGTGGAAGGCGGACTGCGCCGCCCGGGCCCC